GATCCGATCCGATCCGATCCGATCCGATCCGATCCGATCCGATCCGATCCGATCCGATCCAATCCAATCCATCCACTTTATTACATTTATCTATACCATCCTATTTATCCTATTTATCCTTTTTTAACAACTTTATTGGCAATCTACAATCAACAAGAGAAAACAATCACAAAAATGAAAAACCAGAAAAAGACAAGGCTGTAGAAAACCAAAGGGGAGATGTGAACGGGACGTTAGTTTTAACCATCGTGATTCGCATTTATTGCTAGGATAACAACCTTGAACGGGCAGCGGACTGGATATTTAGCCATGCGGACGAACTAGATGCTATGGAAGTAGAAGGAGCAGAAGAGAATGCTACCAAGTTTAAAGACGGACCTGGAAGTAAGCTGTGACAACGTACTCCTCTCCTCTCCTCTCCTCTCCTCTCCTTTCCTTCCCTTCTTTCTCATCTCTTCACTTATCCTTAATCAATGTATTATTCCCTTTCACAGAGTATCGTTTAATGGCCTTTATTAGTCACATGGGGACGTCTACAATGTGCGGACACTACGTCTGTCATATTCTTAAAGATGGAAGGTACAAAAAGGTTTTCTTTGCTTATTTTTAGGACAAAAGGGCAAACGAATGTTAGAGGGTGAAAAGACTTAAGGAGATAAAAGAAAAGAGAAAGAAAAAAGATAAATAAAAGGGAGTAAATGAATGGGAATAGAAAAGTAAAACAGAGGATTATGGGAAATTGAAGAAAAAGAGAAAGAGAAGTAATCGAATGAAAACAAAAGGAAAAAAAGTGAAAAAGAAAACGAAATGTGAAAGAGAATTTTTTACATTCCATTTCAGGTTCAGTTACCCTGTTAACAATATATTCCTGAAATAAAGTTATCAAAATATTGTTATATTTTATACAATATTAATTAAAAAAATTTCATTTTTTTGAAAACAGATGGGTTATCTTTAACGACAGAAAGGTTGCACAATCAGAAACACCTCCAAAGGAGCTTGCCTATTTGTACCTTTATAAAAGGATGACTTAGCTAGACTATTCTTTCTTTTGTGTCTGTGTCTTGTAATATTTATTGTTACTTAAAGTAGACATAATGGGAAAAGAAGTAAGAAAAATTAAAGTAAGAATAGTAAGAAGTAAAAAGAAGGTAAGAATAAAGATAAGGAAACAAAAGAAAACAAAGAAAACACAAACAAGAAAGAAATTATTTCAGGTTGTTAATTGGATCACTTTTTTGATTGGTTCATTTGTCGACTATTTTGATTGGTTTAGCTTTCCTGTAATTTGATTGGTTCACAGTAGAAGCTACTATTTGGATTGGATGGCCTTTCCTGTGATTTGATTGGTTGAGAGTTTAAGGATCATATCAGAAATTTTTTGATTGGATGAGCTTTCCTGTCATTTTATTGGTTCTGAGATGTGAAAGCCGTTTGGAAATCTTACGTACCGTTCTGTAACTGTGTCATGATGCAGAATCTTAAATTTAAACATTTTGTGACTTCGAATCTAAATGAACATTTAAGAAAATACAGGGCTTGGCACCGTCACGTGATGGCAGTCATGACAGGAGGCAGGAACAAGAAATAATTTAATTTCCCAGGAGAGAAAGACTCTATTGTTGTGCCTCATGTCATGGCTGCCATCACGTGATGGTGCCAAGCCTCTAGAAATAATTTTTGCACTGAATAAATTGTTAAGGTCTATTTGAACTTGCTTTAAATGTTTTTAAGAAAATGGGGTGCTTGTGGAATTAGTTCGAGCATGCGCAGTAGGATTGACATAGCTGCCTAGCAAAAATCCTCCCTACTGTAGAAATCGTTTAGCTTTGCCTTAACTCTTACTTCGATCCATGCAAAAGAAATATAGTGAAAAATTATTTTAAATTACTGACAAGGAACTCGCAAAAAAATCCTATTAGTAGAAAAACAAAAGAATATTTGTAGTGAGGAAGTTTGCATAAGGTGAAACGTGGTCACATTTGGCGTTTGCGCCACTTTATAAATTTTCTATGTGTTTGACCCCTAAAGCCCCTTTTACACTAGCGATTTTTGCGGCGATATTTGCTGCGATTTTTTTGCGATTTTGTCCATTAAATAAATAATGGTAAAGAATTTACTTGTTAAGTTTTATTCAGGATACCAAGATTTTCCTAGACGAATGTCTCTTTTGAAGGATGAGACAAAAGATTTCATATTTCCGAAAATTGCCACGAAAATTGCAGCAAAAATCGCCAGTGTAAACGGGGCTTAATGTCCCAAAATTCAAGATGGCCGCCGTATCAGCATATCTGGGGGTACAATTTATAGCTCGCCGCATCAAGCTTGTTGGCAGCAACTTGGTTTCACATATTCTAATGGCATTGTGTATGAAAAGTGAGCCGGCAAAATCGAGGTTATAAAATGTTCGCATTATATATTTTCTCAAAATCTGCGCGACATAATTTTTTTTAAACTTTGATCTTTTGTAAGTCATATATCATAGTTTGCGTAAATGAAGCAATTTGAAAATAGAGCGAGGGAAACAATTTTTTTTTCTTTCTTAATTTTAATATTTCCTTATAACTTTGATTTATTTAACGCTGTTTCAAAACAAAGTTAACTATTATAAACTTCAATTATTGCCTAATATTTGATGAAAGTTTCATGGTAATTAAATAAAAGCAACATTATAAACGAAGCGAATAAACAAGCTTGATGCGGTCGGCTATAAATTGTACCAAACCACCTTAAACTAAGCTTTTTCTGTTAGCCAAACTGACCAAGATAAATTCTTTAAAAGCTTTACTAGTTATTTGCCCTCTAGAGTCCTTCGTGAAAGACCAAGTTGACCACTTCCGTCCAACTGGCGTTTACGATATTTCAAATAAATTTTTCTCCCTTTCCCCTCCCCTCCCTTTTCCCGTCTCCCTCCGAATCTCAACCCCACGATTTATCGAGGGCAGGTAAACAGGGTAAGTTAAAAAAAAATTACTTCGGAAGCTTGAAAAAAGTTTTCATTAAGATTTGTTAGAAAGCGATGCTTGAAAAAGTTTTCATTAAGATTTGTTGGAAAGCGATGCTTGAAAAAAATTTTAATTAAAATTTGTTAGAAAGTGATGGATTAGGTTTCGTGAAAAGTGATTTATTACGCTCGCAGAAGCTTAGAAATAGTTAATTTGTTCGAAAGAAATAGATTACGTTTTAAGAACATAAAACACACTAAGCAAGGTTGAATTATGAAGGTAAAAATTTGTTAAATTTTAAAGTGAAGGCAAAATGACCCGTGAAATAGAGAAAGAAAGAAATTAAGAGAGARTTCTTTTCGTATTCAAGCRGTGAGCGCCAAAAACTATTTTCTTKAAGAAAKGCYGTTGTACAAGGCTAAAWTCTTGTTATTCAGAAAGTTTAACTTGTTTGGAAGTGGAGATAACCGATGAAAGTGGAATCAAAGTGTTAACCCAAAGCAAAAATTTTATTCGAAAATGAGGTTTAGGCCTTCATTTGCTTATTTCTCATATATTTTCTATAAAAAGCCTGACAAAGCAACATTCTAACACAAATGCAACAAAACATCTTTGTACAATTGAAAATACCGCTTCAAACAAGCATTTTATCATAGTACATCAGTTTCTAACTGTTTAAAAAAGGTTTTGAGTGTTAACCCAAAACGAAAATTTGGATGAAAACTCATACGAAGGTCTAGTTTTTGGCGCTTTTTGCCATTATTGCTCGTTATTGAAAAAAAATTCCCCTTAAAGAGAAAAAGAAACCAAAGCTATATAAGATCAAGAGAATATTACTTTCTTCTCGTATTTTATTTCATTTATTAGGCTTTGTTACTTATATAAACCTAGTTTACACTTTGTGTTACTTGGAGTATTTTCTGAATCAATGCATATAATGCAGTACGAATCTCTCCGACTCTCCAGCAATAGATCACTGGGTTTAGAGCACCATTGCACATCATYAAACTGGATGTCATCATGACAATATAGCTAAAAGTCTTAGTCCACTCTCGTACAAATAGAAAATAAGTCAATGCTGCTACGTGTGGGACGTAACAGACTACGAACGCGGTTGATATTAAATTCATGGTCTTTACAGATTTCTTGAACCTTGGTATGTTTATCTGTTCGGCAAGAGTGCTCTGAGCATGAATTTGTTGTGAGTGTATATGAATAGCTCGAGATATTCGCAAGAGAAAAATTGCATTTAAAACTAATGCAAAGGCGAAGATTAATAGATCCATCGCCGCCATGTCATTGCTATCTACGATGAATGTTATCACACAAGCAAGGAAACTGATGACCCAGATGGCTACAAGACATATAGCGTAGCGTTTGGCTGTAACAAGCTCGTTATACCTCAAATGGAGTTGAACAGCAAGAAAACGATCGAGAGTAACTGCAGTAAGGCTACCCAAAGATACCATAGTCAGCATCGTAAAACTTCTAAAGAAAATAATATCAGAAATCAGTGCAAGCTCGAACTCGTACGTATACATCGCATACAAGTGGACGCAGAAGGATGGCTGGACAAAGATCCCGACGCAGAGGTCCGATATCGCGAGCCCAAGAACGAGAACATTCTTCGAGGTTCTGATGCAGCTTGTAGTGAAGAAGGTTAAAATGATAAAAGAGTTGAAGATCGTTGCTAAAACCGCAACTATTGAGTTTAGGATTAACATATAAACCAAAAATGATCGGTAATCATGATCAAATATGTAAGCTAAAGATAAATCTGTGGATCTGTTTGTCACCGATGAGCGATTGGTGTTCATCTTGAGATTGACTCGGAATCAGAGCTCGTATGACTTCTTCCAAAGGTCGTTGGCTACTTCTCACTGACCTAGCAACTCCATCGCCGGCACAGGTCGTATAGTAAATGGCAACAACTTAGGCGGCCTTTTATCACAATTTTTATAGGAGAATTACAATAAAAACTAACAGCAGATGGTAAAAAATTTCCTAAAAAAACCCCCAAACAATCGAATTTATCCTTTTAAAAAAACTGAATGACGTCCAAAATGTTTTTCTGATCCAATATTGAGTAAAATATTTCCTAGGGTGTCGAGTTTGAATACTTCGCTAACGCTAATGGAAATAGTATAAAATTCATAGTGTGTTGCTTCCCCATTGCATTAGTCGTTTAATTTTGCCGGCCCCACAAAACTTTAGGCTGCATCAAAACAACATGAATAATTAATGATCTTAGAACAATACGAAATCAATACCATGAAAGCATCTGTAAAACCCTCATGCAGAATTCGTCCTGATTTGTTTAAAGTTGACTTTGAAATATCTCGGTCAAATTACATTTAATGTTAAAATTTTTATTCTAAAAAAAGAAGCATTAATCTAGACATTTTTAAAGTAATATGAAATATTCGCGTGAGATCTGAATTAGGTTTAAAACAGCTTGCAGCTTGCTGTCTTAAATCCTCATACAGATCTCCCGCTTATATTGTATTGATTACATAAACAAAAGCTGGAAGTTGTATTAAGAGTAGTTTACCAAAGACAGCAGGTGGAACTAAAAACATATTAATTTTAGCGAAAAAGGGTTTTTATCGAAAAAAACAGGTTTGAGCGTTACTGATCAGGTGTGTATCAATGATCATCTATTAAGATTAAATTTGTCGTAAAATTCATTATATTAAGAGCTAAATGTCTGTAACGTTCGAGAATCCTCGGACAGTTGAAAAAAATCGAAATTGCTCATACTTTCCCTAAATACCCTTTGTAGTGTGACATTTTCGAAAATACAGCTTTTCGAAAATACAGCAATTTCACCATACAGAAAGCCAGTTAAAAACAAATTTCCGGTGAGACGTTATTTTACGTTTAGCACAGGGGGGTTCAGCTTCMATTTAAGCCCAATTTCGAGAATTTTAGCCCCCCCCCCCCCCCTTTCCCTCCCGATAATTATTGCACAGTCCCTAAACATGCAATTTTGGAAGCCTCGAGCTAAACCGTACAAAGGATACGAAGAAAATTTCCTCGTGCTTACATCAGCAAAAAGAAGAACGTTTAAAACTGGTTCACAGACTGTGTGTTATCAATGTGTGATTGCATTCGGGATAAGAGCGCGATATTCATCCATTACTTGCACAGTTAGAGTGTAAAAATAAAATTAATTGCCTAAGAATTTTACAGTGATCTCGCTCAACTGCGAGAATAATAATAAAGAGGCCGCGTGGTGTTTAGACGTGCCTAGGTACTACTACGTAATAGTATTCAAAAATCCTATTGGTTTATCTGGGATATGCGGATTTAGCATGTACCAACTTGTGTACTTCCTATGAATGCGCGCGCTCATTGGTTAATTGGAGGTGAATATTGTACGATATTCACCTCTGAATCTCGGAATATTGAGTCGGCAACAAAATGGCATCTGCCGGCAATCGTTTTGCTACAATTTCCTATGAGGAAATTGAAAAAATGAAAGTAAATACCATTCCTATCAATACTAAAAAGGCAACGAAGTATGGCCTAAAAGTTTTGCTAAACGTTTTGCGTGAATTTGTCACGCAAACTGAAAGTTTCTGTTTGTTTGCTTTTATTGAATTATTGTATATAAAAATAAGTTACTCTGTACACAAGTTGGTATATGCTAAAACAATTATTCGCCTCAGGCTCAGTGAATATGGAGAATATTTACCTCGCCGCTCGAAGACTTGCGTCTCGGTAAATATTCCCCGATATTCACTTCGTCTTCGGCGAATATCTGTCAATTATATAGATGGGTTACCGGAAGTAATGTTTCGACATAAATGCCATTAGCCATTAGCATAATATTTCGTTTTTTATAGTACACTCAACAAAATTACTCTACTCTGATTGGTCGAGAGGAGTACAATTATAGCGTTAATTGTACTCCGTAGGAGTACCGAATTAAGTCGCTATGGCAACACGGCCAAAACAATGTCAAAACAATTATTTTCTATCATTTTGTACTTAAAAAGCATAAATAACATTTTAAAGCCGTAAGAACTAATCTTTTTTATGCATTTCAGTTGCACGATGGACTGGAAATCGGCTGCCAAATAGACAAAGATGAACGGCGTCGCTTCGCATTTTTTACTGAAATTTTGTTGAGTGAACTATAAACAAAAAATCGCACGATCTTCTCGTACAATTTGGAATTAATAGACACTCGTAATGTTTTGAAAGTTCTTTAATTGTACTCGCCTAAAGGCTCGTGCAATTACAAGAACTTTCAAAACATTACTCGTGTCTATTAATTTCCAAATTGTACTCGAGATCATGCGATTTCCTATACAAATTACACGAGACTGAAACTGAGAAAAGACAGATTACATGTGTGCATTAGAGCCCTAAAAACAGGTAAGTGTTTTCAAATTTTTAAATTAAAAGCTATAATAATATCCTTGATATATTGAACATGGCGTCTCTTCGTAAAATCAAATATTTCGGCACGCATTTTCTTGAGGACTTGGTCGAGAGCGTGGTGTTCTGGCGCGAAATTTAAAAGCTACTAGAGCAATATTAATAGATATATAAGATTTATTGAATATGGTATCTCTTCGTAAAATTAAAGTTTGTGGCTAGCATTTTCGTGATTTTAAGATATATTTAAAGAGGATGAAACTGTACTTTTGTAAGAGTTATTTTAATATACATTCAAGAAACTTCGATTTACTATGAATCATACAACAAATTTGGGAAGTTGCCGATAACATACTTCTACTTTGACTGCAGAATTTAGAGTATGAATGATAATTTTTTTTAAAATAGTAGATTTTCGACTTATCTCGTTATTTTGGTAGTCGTTGGACAGCGCTCTGCTGCCGTTATCCTAAAGCTTCCAAGACAATTTAGAAGTACAAAAAAATCCTGAATAATAACTCACAAATCAAATTTATACATTAAAGAACAAGATACGACTACCAGCTTTTATATTCAGGTATTATGAATTGCAAAAATTCGAGAAATATCTGTCCGACTTACCTGTTTCACTGTACATGAATAAGGTCCACGTGTGAGAGAAAGGCAACATCATATGCTAATTAGGAAAACAGAAGAACAAGTTTACTTCCGGTACGAGGGTTTAAATCAGCTGATAAAGTGCTACTATGACGAAAATCGCTCAAACTTGGATTCAGCTGAAACTTCCTAAGAATACTCTTTAAAGGTCCAGTAATCACTGTATGAAGTGTTTTCTTGATATTCAGGATGAAAGTATGATATTTTTACGATTATTTTTTGGAGTCTGTGACGTCATACACTCAACATCGAACATCGCTCCATACATTTCTTTGTAGTTTATGATCAAAATATCAGTAGTAAAGGGAGAAAGAAATACCCAAACATCCCAAAATATAAATTATAGTCACAAGTAATGTGAAATAAGCACATTAGCCACCCTTTGGGCTTCATAGGAATAAAATAAATTAAGGATTTATATACAAAGAAATATATGTAGCAATGTTTGATGTTGAGTGTATGACGTCACAGACTCCAAAAAATAATCTTAAAAATATCATACTTTCGTCCTGAATATCGAGAAAACACTTCATACAGTGATTATTGGACCTATAAGAGTATTCTTAGGAAGTTTCAGCTGAATCCAAGTTTGAGCGATTTTCGTCGTAGTAGCACTTTAAACGTCTTTGAATCTCATTAAAGACCTTTAGCATCTGGGTCCAGTTGTACGAAACCTGGATAGCGATATCCTTATTCAGTGGAAAAGTAGATGCTGTTGTCCAATAAATTTATCCACTGGATAAGATGTATCCGTATTTACCCGGTATTGATTTTACCTATAGTGTTGTGCTTTAGTTAGCGAAATAAAGGCTTCTGGACATTTCAACTTAGTTTAACTAATACTTTTTATT